GCGTTGCTAGCCTCGAGACCATTTTCTCGCGTGCCTTCGCGCACCTCCATGCGCGACCTCGCATACGAGCTCGTACCCGTCTTTTAGGCCATGCATGCGTCATTTTGGCTCTTTTTCCGGCCTCATCGGGTTGTCTCGTCTCTTGGCCCTTCTTGTCGTCGGGGCTTGAAACCCACTTCCGTATCNNNNCCCTTTGAGAATGTCCTTGCCCTCAAGGACTCATCCTCGACCATCCAAACCTCAAGCACTCCTTCTTCGACCATAAGCGCACACCACTCACGGTCCTCATCGACCTCGACCTCGACTTCACCCTCGACATCGACCTCGACGAACGACTCCTCTTTAAAGTACCCTAGAAATACGAATGAGAACGTAGGTTCCTCGTCGCCTTCGACCACTTCGGCTCCTTTGGCCTCGATCTCGATGTGAGCCACTTCCTCGTCCATGAACACGTCGCCGAATGAAGGTGGTTCCTCGGACTCGGTGACCTTGTCTTCAACACAGCTTGGTAGATCTAATGCCAATATGGGCTCTTTGTTGACGAATCTCTCCATGATATTGAGTTGTCGTTCGAGCTTCTCCTCGAGATCTCTTCGCTCGTGCAACTCTTCCAAATGTTTTTGCTCCCATGGGGTCAAATTCCTCTCCAACCCTTCCAACATTAGAAGATCTTCCCAATCCAACTCATCTAATGGTATGAAGAACATCTTGACTCTCTCTTTTTTTTAAGACTCTAAAAAAATAAAATCAAACAAACTAGGATGACACTTTTTTTTTTACTCGATCTCACGAAAATTTTTTTAAAAAAAAGAGAAAATTCGAAACAATTCGAACTAGGGGGGAAAAAATCGGACAAAAAGAAAAAGAATGGGATAGGAAAAGTTTAACGAAACACACAATCAATCACTCTCAATGAAAGCACCAATGATGAATGATCGTGTGTTTGCATTCCACTCGACTCGCCTTGAACCAAGCCCGCCACAGCTCGCTCTCGACTAATAGGTGTGATCGACTCGGTTATTAGCCTAACTCTCTCACGATACTTGAGTTCACTCGGTAATTAGCCTTGCTCCCTCGATTTTGAACTGGCTTGGGTCTTAGCCTCACCAATTCGATTGGATGATCGAACTCTCACGAATCCTAACCCACGGTTTCGAACAAATGTTCTTTTCTATTCAAGTCATCAATTCTGGACTCTTAAAACAATGGTGGAAGACCCCTATTTATAGGTGCATAAAATAAATCTAAGCCTAAGCTAATTAGATCTCCTAATTCTAGAATGAAAAGTAACATGGTAATAAAATCCTAATACTACTATAATTAATAATTGCTTGACTTGCACTCCAAGTAGAGAAGTATAATCTAGAGAAAATTCAGCTCAAAAAGGTCTCCCAAACTTGGTTTCTTGCTAGGCAAGTCATGCCCC